AAAAAAAAAAATGGCTCTATATTATATAAAAATAATTAAATCATCATTATCGTTTAATATTTTTAATGAGCATCATCATGCAGAATATATATGTTCTGATTTTTTAGTTTTGCACCTTTTGCGATTTCTGAACATTTTCTTGTACAATTCTTGCCTTTTGTAATATAAATATACTTATTATGGTTCTCCTGTTCCAATACATTGTTTGGTTTGCGTTGGAGGTTCGCGGAATGTGTTTGGACTATTTGAACACGTGTATTTCTTCGCGAAATTTTTGACTGATTCTTATCTTATGATTTTTACTACTCAGATGCTTGAGTTTATGCGATTTTTATCTATTTTATTGACTGGTTTTTATTTTATTTTATAAGAAGTACTTGATCTTTAAAGAGGGACCGAAATGTATATCGTCTTTTAAAATATTTTATTATTAAAATAATAAGCTGCTTGGATATTATCAGAGAATATGTTACGTTCAATTTCTATTTATTCTCTTAAATAAAATAATTTTATTTGGCGAGATACCGAATTCTAAAGAAGATATTAAAGTAAGAATCAACGATATAGAACATTCTAATGACAAAAAAAAAGAAATGTAAGATTAGCGCGATATAAAAAAAAGATTATTATAGTGTAGCTGTAAATTTCGCATATTTTCGTCACATTTTTATAGCTGTACCAAAGAAAAATACAAAAACTCAAAATCCAGTTCTCACACAAAGAAAAACTATCGTTGACCAAAATTAATCAATCAATATCCGGTGGAAACGACCTCGGAAGTCTTCTTTGCCGTTAACGGGTCAAGTTCAACATACATTACGAATACAGCTTTAACATTTTAAAGCACATGAAATGAAAGATAAGAAAGAGAAAGAGAGAAACGGAAACACAATGCATACATTACTTCATTTTTCTTATCTCTCTATATGAAGTCATTCTAGATATTGCTATTTTCCATACGTCTCCTCCGTTTCCCTAGTCGACATTAGACAAAGTTAACTGGCTTGTAATTAACCCTTTTAATGTCAATTTTTTCAAAAAAAAACGAAAAATCGATCAGTCAGCATTAATTATTTAAACAAAGTCTTTTCGAAATGAAAATCTTTGCTATCCCTAGTACCTGCTGACACGCAGGCCACACCCTCTCGCGGGTGCCGCGGCGAACCGTACACGGGGCACGGGGCCCGCCGTCGCCGACGGCGAAGGGAAAAGGGAACGCGTGCGTACGCGCGCGCATGACGCTCCCCTCGCCGTTCACCTGTCATCGCGTCCGCGATCCTCGCCGGCGTCCTCGGCGGCCACGCACGCACGTACGTACCTCGTCTTGAGATTCTGCACCACGCGTTCAACCGTAATCTCGTCCAGCAGCACGAAATCGCCGATGCCGACGTCGTCGGTGTTCGCCATCTCGCTTTATTTCACTCGCGCACACGCGACGCTCACCGCTCACACGCAGATTCACCAGGTTAATTCGCACGACCAACCACCGCGCGCGACCGACCCGCGCGCACTGACGGTTGGTTGGCTCGCGTGCTCGCTTCACCGTCGGCCAACTTCGCTATCTCGAGTCGCTATCTTGCACGGCGAATGCGGTCATCTTCAGACCTCCCGCTCCTTCGTTTCGATTGGTCGATGATGACGCGTTTCGGATCGTGCAACACCGTATACACTAGCGGGATGATTTTTTGTTCTCTAGGTTTTTCTTTTAAACTAGGAAAAAGCGAAGAACAACGCGCAATGACATTTTCATTTTGCGCGTATGTGCCATTGGAAATTAGAATATATAAGACTGCGGATCAAGGTACATAAATTAACTATTGTTAATGTTCTCTCGCGGATACATGCCTTTCCGGGTAAAAGGTGGAATTCGATCAGTTATTGTTTTCTCGGGAAAAGGGGGCTCTTACCGTGCATTGTCATGTTTACTAGGATATTTACGATAAGACGAGCCATAGTACGTTCCTGATACGCGGAAGAAGTGGGCCCCGTGGGCCACGCATGCGCGTTCGCGTACGTCAGATCTTATTATTCACCTTTATTTTTGGAAGCGACACAACGCACGGACTTGTCATTTGCGGGGATCCCGTTGGTGCGGTAACGTTGTGTGTGCGTGTCCCGCACGTTCGCGAACGATGTCAACACGGACGACAATGACCACGAGGACGACGACGATGTTCGAGCGGAAAAGTGACTCGATGCTGCTGACGAATGGCAGCGGTAATCTCGTCGGAGATATTCGGAAAGAGGAACCGGCGAGATTCTGGACGAAGATCCGCCTGAACGAGTGGACGTTCAGCCTGTCACTTTTAGGACTATCGCTTTCGATCGTTATAGGAAAGTTGTACGCAAATTATGGTGAGTAAAACGGCAAATTGTACGCTCGCTTTCTACTTTGTTAGAATTCTTCGAAGAGGGAAGAGATTATACTGAAAATTGTGGACGATACAAATCGTTCACGCGCTAGAGGGTTAGAGGTTAGAATTGAATTATTAAACGTACGCTTTTTTTTTGTTTTGATTCTGTTCCCAGCGATCTGAATCGTTTCCACAAGAAGCATCTCGTTATCGCGCGAACAATAGATTGAGATATCGCAGATAGGACGTATCCTCGGGATTTATTTATCGAAAGCGCATTTTTTGTTTTGGTTCAATTGGAAGCGAGATTGTCGACGATGCGGATTATTCTGAGAAAAATATATGGCGTTCTAAATATACTTCAAATTTTGCTTGAATGTATAATTTTCATTTTTATTAAATAAATTATAAGTAAATTATTGATATTATTAATTATTAATATTTATCACAAATATTTTAATGATGTAGTATATAAATTTTCTATTGACATTAGTTTATTATTTTTAACTTTACATTTCTCATACTTGTGTTATTAGATGTTTTTTTTTTCAGTTACGCTTTCTACATTAGCTTTCTTCTTTCTCTCTTCGATACATGTAATAGAGTCATTCATAAAAAAATAAAAAATTATATATATATATATTTTTTTTTTATTAAGTTTAAGTAATATAAATATCCAATATACTATATAGAAAGTAATATTTAATATGCAATATTAATCAGTAATTAATTTAATTAAAAATTCGAAAAATATCACGTGTCTTTAAACGTCATGATATATATGTTATAAGTTGACACGTTACTTTAGGTGACTGCATGGAAACATATATCGTGTATACAGATAATTATTTATTTTTTTTTATACATAATTTTGTTATAAATTTAAACCTTCATAAATGATATGCTTTATACATAATATAGGTTAATTTATGTTATTTATAAGTTGTGTTATTCATGTAAAAATAAAACTACAAAATTTAATTCATTAATACTTAAGAGATCCGTTATGTTAATTATTATAATATTTATATTAAAATGATCTTTACAACAAAAGGGTTCAATCAACGATTTATAATTAGTTATGCCAAACTAAATTATATATCGTGACGTCATGAATTAATGATGGGCATTCTGGCGCTTTTAAAATCTTATTTTTAAGTTCTTTTTATGTTACTGCAAATATTAACATTTTTTATAATGTTTTTAGAACTTAGTCTCATTTGGAATAACAAAAAAAACAAAAAAAAAAAAAAAAAAAAAAAACCAAAAAAGATTTCTTTTTTTTTTGAAACATTTACTGTACTTTGTAGTTTATACAACACGACTATTTGTTTATATATGAATGTTAATTAATTTATTGATAATCTTTTCGACAATCTGAGTAATGAGTTCTTTTCCGCCCATATATTAACGTACGCATACATATGTACCTATATATATTATGCACACAAAACAAAAAACGAAAATGATCTCATTATTTTATGAGAATGAAATAAGAATCTGTAGCTGAAAAAATCACATCTAATAGATTTTACAATTAATTTATTAAAAAGCAATCATCTCTACAGACTGTTTTGTGTTATTATTTGTTATCAATAAATCTGCATTTTTCAATTGTTGATGTAATATTAATCACTAATCCTTTGCATAAAACAAAAGCTTTTGCACAACTCTCCATCCTCCACATATCATACATTTGTTTATATCTATTTTAAATAATTTATTATGAATTTTATTATTATACGTCAATATCCCATTCTATTTTAAGATATCTACATGAAAATTACATAATTTCTGTCGCTATTCGCGGATCTCAATAACGGATTCAACGTTTTTCCTCACAAAAATTCATGGCTTTGTAAGCTTTATATTTTTGTCTAATACACATTTCACATAAAAAAGTTTTAATATCGTTGATTTTTATTGTATGCTACGTGGTAAAACATACATAAACAGTGAGTGACAAAGAGAGAGAGAGAGAGAGAGAAACTGACTGATGATTATTTTTTTATGTCTCATTTCAGAGAAATTTAAACGTTCGTGGATCACGCATTCGTGAATTATATTTTTACAGGCGATCTATTTTTCTTACGAGATATATTTTTGGGTCGAGCTACGCGAGCTTTTCCTTCTCTCGAGATTTCTTCGCGCACGCGTTTGTATACGAATCTGCATCGCCCATGACCGAGTTTATCAAGGCCGCGTCATCGCTCGAAAAAGTACATACCTGATTGTCGCAACTGAGAGATAATAAAAGCGAAACACAAGAAAAGAAAGGAAAATCTTCTCTTTATTTTTTACGTTATACCTTTTATTTTATTTCTCTCTCTTTTATCTTTTCCTGCTCAAATTAATTGTCACTTTATTTAGAGAATATCATCTTTTAGAGTATTAGTTTCTTCATCTGGAATGATAATTCTCTCTCTATAAAGCAAATATTTTTTTTCTTTCTCTACGAAAGCTATAATTAAAAATTTAATAGCTGATTTAGAATAAAATAAAGAAGATTAACTACAACTGATGATCAAATAGCTACAACTGATGATCAAAACGGGAATGGCTAATACGAGTTTCTCATACTCTGCCTGTAGGAAAGTATTTGTCATGGGAAATCGAAGATCAATACTCTCTACCATCAATAACAACGTTCGTTCAAGTATACGATGCGATACCGAATATATCCGTTTTATCGAAATTCGACATGAAACGATTACCAGCAAACAGCGAAAGATTCTTCAATACGTATGCAGGAGCAGCTATAAATATGCTGGTCATATTTTATGAAAAGTACGATTGGCTGCTCAAAGCGACGATGAGTGGACTTATGATAACAAGTTTCTCTTGGTTCATCCTTTATAAAGACAGCAGTATACCCGGTGTCAATCCACCGTTCCCCTTCAGTCCTTCCAGGCAGAGGTAAGTCTCAAGTTTTATTTAGCTATACAATTACACAATATTTTGGTTGAAAAAATAATAACAATATTTGCAAATTAAATGTTAAATTCTTTTTGAACATACTATTAATAAAAACTAAGAAAAATATTCAATGTTATTAGAGAAATATTATTATATAATATCTATAATCATTGTAATCAACCATTAAATCAAGTGACAATTAATTACAGTATTGTTTGAGAAATTAGACATAATTTTCACTTTTTAAACATCGCTTGTCATATATATGTATTTCAGGATACGCAACGATTCAAGGATACAGATAAACTATTTAGTTGGTGCATTAAATGGGATATTATTTTTCATCTACATGTGTCTTTAACTTGATGAAATTTTCTCTACCTATTATTAGTATTATTTTATCTGATTTATTTATTATGTCGACGTGTTAATAATAACTTATTTATTGGTGGTTTATAATTACAATATATGAAAAAGATGGATCTATGAAAGAATAGGTACCAATAATAGGAAGTCTTAATGTTTTGTGTAATTCTTTATTAATTAACATATTTCGATATTACATTACAGTAACTTTCTAGAAAATAATTTTATCTTTTATTTGAACAAATGAAAAATCGAAAGCATAGAAAAATTTTTGCATTTTCGAAATTTGAAGAATTTCGAAAGTTTTATATTAAGCAATTTATCAATAGAAAGAATTTATATTGCTATAATTTCATAATCACTAATAATCACACTAACGATATAACTATGTAGAAATTATTGAAACAGAAGCAATCGCATGCATACAACAACCAAAAATATTAAAGTACAAAACAGTCCATTGTTCCATACTTCCAAATTTTAAACGGTTATTTGTTACTGGACTATGTAAGACTGATTGATTATCTGATAAAGTAATAATATTTATTGATAAGATAAAATAAAAGCGTTATGAGTTAGAATTGTATGCAGGACATATATTTTTTGCACGCTTAAAGATAACACATTTTTATATTATTTCGGATAGTGATATTTAATACATTTAATGTATATCGTTCTCTGAATGTGGTATCACATTTTTCAAAAATATATAGTTGGAATCTCATTAGGTAGCTACAAGAATGTCGAAAAAAATGGTGCAACGAAAAATGGGTTCTATTTAGATTATATTAATATGTAGTATTTATATATTAAATTATTTTAATAAATATAATTTTAACTAAAAACTGCAAACTTATACATCACAGCTTTAATATCGAAATGTCAAGTTTGAAACTATTAACTT